CCCAGGGGGGCCTCACACGGAGGGAGTGGCCTGCCACTTTCCCCACAGCTTCAGCGTAGACTTCTCTGCTCTGACAGGGCAAGAACAGTGTTCCCGAGAGCCCGGGATGGCAGTGCTAACCTGCCGGCTGCCTCGGGAGGAGAAACCTTTGTCAGGGATGGCCAAAACTCCCTGGGCTTTTTCTTTTCTTTCTAGAGACACTAAAGCTAAGGAAACAGAACACGGAGGTGTCAAAAATGCTGCAACAGGGGCCGGGGATTTAGCTCAGTGGTGCCACCGCCTGCCTCACAAGTGCAAGACCCTGAGTTTGATCCCTGGTACCAAAAAGAAAAGAAAAGAAAAGAAAAACATGCTGCAATCAAGTCCAGTGCCTCTTTTCCTCCTGGTTCTGGGACTGAGCCCAGTGGGTTCTTTGGTCTATTCTCACCTCTGAGGACTGAACCCAGGGTTTTCCACTGAGCTACAACCCCAGCCCTTTTTTATGTTGAGAGATGCTCTCGCTAAGTCTCTAAGTGGCGCAGGCTGGGCTCTCACGTCCCAGAGCTTGGGGTCACAGGTGTGTGCCACCACGCCTGGCTAAGGCCCAGTGTCTTGACAGTTCTTGCCATTCTGCTCCCAAGGGACCGAGATGATTTGGCAGCAGTTGCAGCAGCAAGATGGACTTGAGCCAAGATGCAGGAGGAAAGACTCCCTGTGGGGCTCACAACCACCACCAAGGGCCAAGCTCGCATCCCTACGTGAACTGGTGGTCAGGACTGTACCGAGACAGGAAGCTGGCCAGCTAAGCACGCCAGACCGCGAATGGCACCCAGAGGGCTGTCCCCGTCCCGGTCCCTCTCTTTGCTCTCCACTCCGGCTTCACAGGAGTCCAGGAAACGAGGGCAATTCAGCCAAGCCCCTCCAAGCCTGCATCCCTCCCCGTTGTCAGCACTGGAAAACCACACATACACAAGGCCTTTCACACTAGCACAGCTGTCTGCACTTTCCAAAAAGTCAAAGTGATTTTTTTCTGTTTTAGTTTCCTTCTAATGTGTTTAACAGAAATGGCACGTAGTAAATTTTAGTATGACCACAAAAGCTCTGTACGTATACATATGCACACATGTACATAAGTCTGGCGAATACATTTTTGTTATTTAATCTAGTTACATTTCCCTAGTGGTCGGTGAAACAAGGGTGCATCTCATAACCACTGACACCTACATCCCATGAAACAAGGCAGCTCTCATCAGCTGACACCCTTGCTTATCCTAATGCTCTGTGTGCTTCTTTAGGATGTGGTCACATTGCAGCACGACCCACTTGCTGTTTTTCCAAGCATCTTCACGTTCCTCTACTGTAACTTCATGGTAGACTACCCTCTGCGCTGTGACATTCTTTCTGTGTGGTGCCACAGACAAAACCCAGGGTCACAGGCACCCCTCTACCACCGAGCTCTATCCCAGCCTGGAAGTTACTGCTGAGGACAGGGAGCCCTGAAATGAAGCCAAGTTAGGGACACTCTCTACGTTACAGATTTACCCACAGTAAGCCAAGTCCCTAAATGACACACAGCCAAAGTCCCTATTTATAGCACTAAGAACCACCCCACTCTTCCCAAAACAAGCAGTAAATCCTTACACCAACTGAACTTCTGTGCTGAGAGAAACTTTGTTTTGTTTTTTGAGACTGGGTCTTGCTACATAGCCCAGGCTGGCCTCAAACTCAAGGCAGTCCTCCTGTCTCAGTTTCCTGAGTACTGGGATTACAGTCACGTGCCACGACACCCAGACTCATTTTGCAAATTCTTTTTTGGTACTGGGGATCGAACGCAGGACCTTATGCTTGCAAGCCAGGCAGCGGAACCACTGAGCTAAATCTCCGGCCTATTTTGCAAATTCTTAATGATGTATATGAACCCATGATACTTTTTTTGTTTTTGGTACCGGGGATCAAACTCAGGACCTTGTGCTTTCAAGGCAGGTGTGGTGCCACTAAGCTAAATCCCTGGTCCCCATGATATTTAATTTTATAAATACTAAATGGAACAACAAGAAGAGCCTGGACCCGGGCCTCCTGCTCTCTGATCTCCCAGGAATGCAGCAGTGTCCAGTGTTGCAGCCCCCCGGGGTCAGGAACTTGCAGCACCAGCTTGGTCTTGGGGGTACCCACTAGAGAGCTTGCAAGCTACATGTTCCTTGTGTGGCACTGAGGAGCTCTTCATGTTTCTCACGCGGACAGTAAAACTCAGAATCCTGACTTGAAATCTCCTCTCACACCATCTCAAATTACCGGAGCAGAGGGCAAAATGGACTTGGCATAAAGACATGAAGGAGAAGACAAGGGGACTGCAGGTGGTACTGTCTTGCAACCTCCACAGAAGGCCCAAATTAGCCTGCAGCTGATGAGGAAGGGCCCCAAGCCTCCAGAACGTTTGCATCATTCGGCTTTGGTATCGGAACAACTGCGCCTGCTCCTAACCACGCTCCAACCTCACTTTCGAAAACCTGCCGAGCTGTTGCCAGCATCCAGTGTTCTCGAAAACCACTCGCTCGGCAGCCCTCCTGGCAGTGCCCACTGCACCCGAGCGCGGCCTCGGCCCTCCTCCTTGGAGCAGGGACCCGGGAAGGGGCGACCAGGGTCTGGGGTGCAGAGCCCGAGAAGAGCCCACCCCTCCCCCTCCTGCATCCCCTTTAAATTCTAGGGTAACCAAGGCGACCAGGTCCATGATGGAGACACAGTCACTCGGGCCGGTCTGCTGGCCGCCCGGTTGCGATCACTGGGGACAGAGGGCGAGGAAGGGGCGCAGGCGCGGACAGGCGACAAAGCCGGCGCTGGGAGCAGGGCGGGGCCGGCGAGGCACGGACGGCGTCATCGCCGCGCGCCCACCCACGACCCGGCCTCCCAGGAGCACGACCCTCCTCTCCCGGGGCCCGGGGCCCGGGGCCCGGGGTAGCCTCGGCTCCGCGCCGGGCGGCAGCAGCGGGGGAGGCCAAACCCGAGAGCGCCCTAGAGGTCCCGGGACCGGATCTCAGATGCGGGGGTCGCGGAGGGCGGGGCGGAGCCTCAGCAGCTGGACTCTGCGCCACGGCAGGGCTGGATTTCACCAAGCCACGGGGCCGAAGCCCGTCTTCTCCTTGACTCCGCCGCCCGCTTACCTCTTGGCTTCTTCTTCGTCCAGCAGCTCCGGCTCAGTCGTCGCCATTACCACATCGCACTCCGCGCCCGCCGCCATCTTACCGCCGGGACCAGAGAGCCGGGCGGGAGGCCGGCGGGGAAGAGCACTTCCGGCCGGAGCATCGAGAGACGGATCGGCGGCGCGCCCAGAGAGGCCCCCACGGGCTCGTCTACCAACGAGACGCTCCGCCTGGGGGCAGAGCGGCCTCGCGTCCCTGGAGGTCCACGGTGGTCGCGCGGGGGCCCAAGGACAGCTCCTGTGCGTGGGGGGCGCCACTTTACCCGCGGGAAGGTCGGGGTGCAGGAGAGTGTTGCCTCTCGAGGCCTTGGCTTTCCTCATTACCCCGAGAGTCTGGTTGCCATTGCAAATTGCAATCCTACAGTGCGCTGAAAGGCCGGGGCAGCCTGGGCGGGATTGGGGACCGAGGATCTGAGGGGAAAGAGCCCCACGGCTCCCTGCCCGGTGCCGGCGTGTGTCCACAGCGTCCTCGCGCGAAAGGCAAGAAGACACTGGGAACCCAGTTCCTTCAGCTTTCATCAGACCCTGCAGGCCCTGCCCAGGAAGCCAGGGGACGCAGGGCGTCCTCACCCGCGTCTTTCATCCCTAGATCTCCAGGCAGCGGCTGGTTCATCACCCCAATGACGCCGCCCTTTATGAGCTGCTTTCATGTCGGCCGCCGGGAGCGCAGGCTCAGCAATCAGCCCAGGGAGGCGACATGACAGGCGCCCGGCCCTGCCCGAGTTTATAAGGCAGCTCATGGGGTGAGGTCCCTGTTCCTCTGTGTCCCTCAAGCTCCCAACCCTCATAAACTCGGTTCGGCACGCTTGGCTGGCCGAGGGCAGTGTGGAGGGGGACTCGGAGGACAAGGCCACGGCTTAGTCACCTCTGCAGGACTTCCCTCCCCCAAGCCAACAGCTGGGGGGTTGAATTAAATTAAGGCTCTCTGCGGTCAAACCAAGGGAGTTTGAGGTTCTCATTTAATGGTAAAGGAACTAAAATAGAAAAGGCCATGGGAATTTTAGAAGGCGCTAGGGCTAGGGAGGTAGCTCAGGGGTAGAGCACTATGCCTCGCAAGCAAGCGGCCCTAGGCTCCATCCCAGCCCTGCAAATCATTAATCTACCAGGAAGAGAGCGAGCGCCGGGGCCCAGCAGAGTGCTGAGTCCAGGGCAAGGGCGAGGGCATTCTGCGGCGCTTTCCAGCGTACTGAGTGGGAGGACACAAGGCTCACAGACCAGCCGCCCTCCTGCCGGTGCCGCCTATGTGCTGCATGCCCAGACTCAAGTCTGGCTGTCTCCAACTCGGCCCTTCCTGCAGAGTCCGGACCTCTGTACTAACTACCGACTGAGATCTCGTGACGTTCAGAGACGCCCGAGGCCTAACAGGCATTGGGCGTATCCTCATCCCTCAACCACAGATGAAACAAACGTGGCACTTGATTCCCTAATTCCCGATCATCTCCTTGATCCGTCCCCCCCACACACACACACTCGTGCCGTGGTACGCTCCTCATCCTCATCCACCAAGTCCTGGGATCCTCCCGATACATCGTCCACTGCGCTCGGTTCTGTCTCCGACCTAACACACCAGGCCTTTGAGGAGTCGTTGTGGCGCTAAGTGCCATGACTGCTGCCATGCGTCCTCCTCCTGGGACACCCCTGCCCAAGCCTTCACCCCGCGGCGCGGACTGGCCCTTGGGCGGTGCGCCTTGACGTCGCTGTCCCGCCCACTGCCCGGGCTGTACTCACCGTGCTGCGGCTCCGGCTGAACTCACTGGAGTAGGCGATTGCTGGCTTAGACATCCAGCTCCTCTGCAGCGTGGCATCCCGGGGACAGCCTCGTGGCGCCCCGTCGGCTCCTCCCAGCACGTGGCCCTGCAGGTGGCCCAGAAGTCCTGGACCGGGCTGGAGGAGCAGCGGGGGGCCGGAGCGCTCCCGTCCACCAGGCCCTGGGTTCCAGCCCCAGCCCCCCAGAAGAGAAAAGGGAACATCTGACGACTAAGTGATTGCGGAAAAGAAGCGCTCCTGTACTAGGTCAGCCTTTGGAGAGAACATTTGGGCCTCGCAGACCCTGAAAAAGCGGCCTGCGGCCGGGAGCCTAGAACCTTCCCTCGCGTACAACCAGGCCTGTTCCCGGCCGGCGTTTCCCCCGGCGGCCCCTGGGGGCGCTATGCGCCCCGCGCCCGCTCTCCGCCGCCGGAACTCGCCTTGCCAGCCGGAAGCTGAGGGGCGGGCCCCCGGCGGGGGCGGGGCCCTACGGAGCCCACTTCCACCCGGAGCCGGATCGCGGAGTCCCGGGGCCCGGCTGCCCCTCCCCCGGTCCCCGCGCGGTCCAGTGGCCGAGAGGGGTGTGGCGGGGCTCGGGAGGTGCGGAGCCGGGACGGGGTGCGTCTCTGTGCCTCCGATTGCTTAGGAGGCCCTGGTGGGGACTCCTGGGGCGGTGGCTCTGGCAGTCTCCTTGGTGTCTCTTAATCGCAGGACTCGCTCAGTGGGAGGGATCGGTGTCAGGCGCTGTCCCTGGGGGCTGCTGGGGACCCGCTGTGAGAGCGAGCTCTGCTGTGTGCGAGGATCTTTTTTATTTTTTGCGGGGATCTTTAGCTGGGATTCCTGGGTCCCTTCGGGGAAGGCGATTCTGACTCTGGGTCACCCCGAGTCGGGGGCTGTGGATCGCGGGACCTGGGCCCTCGGTGGAGGGAGGGCTGCTCTCTACCTTGATCCCCTTTTCCCTCATCTCACCCAGGTGTCTCTATCCCCCTCTAGCTTGGAGGCTAAGCATGGGGAAGAGCTGCAAGGTGGTCGTGTGTGGCCAGGCGTCGGTGGGGAAAACTTCCATCCTCGAACAACTCCTGTACGGGAACCATGTAGTGGGTGAGTGTGGTTGGGGCTGGGGGCAGCGGAAGGCGTTTCCAAATAAGGAATAGGATTGGGTCATGGCTAGAAAAGGCTCAAAGCTGCTCCAGTGGTTTTTGCACCAGAAAGAGGGTGTGGCACATGCCTGTCATCCCAGCATGCTGGGAGGTTGAGGCGGGAAGGCTGCAAGTTCAAGCCCAACCCAGGCAACTAGTGAGATCCTGTTTCAGATTTTTTAAAAAGACCAGTGGCAGTTGCATAGACCCTGTTTTCATCCTTAGAATTGAGGGGGGGAAAGGGTAAAACTAATGTAACTCCCAGCTCTGCAGCCTTAAACAGATCTGGAGGGAAGAAACCCAGGATCTCAGAGAGGGAGGAGAAGCCCCCCATGGTGCGCCGTATTAGGGTGACATCCCTGTCAGTTGCCCCAGCTAGTTCTGGTCCCACCAGGTTCTGGCCCAGCCTCTCTTCAGCCCCAGGACCCTTTATCCCTCTCAGGATGACCTCAGTGCTCTCATTTCCAACCTCCCTCCCCTTTCAGCAAGGCTCTCATCTTGCCCCAGGTTCTGAGATGATCGAGACCCAGGAGGACATCTACGTGGGCTCCATTGAGACGGACAGGGGCGTGAGGGAGCAGGTGCGTTTCTACGACACCCGAGGGCTCCGGGATGGGACCGAGCTGCCCCGGCACTGCTTCTCCTGCACCGATGGCTACGTCCTGGTCTACAGCACAGACAGCCGAGAGTCCTTCCAGCGCGTGGAGCTGCTGAAGAAGGAGATCGACAAGTCCAAGGACAAGAAGGAGGTGTGTGGCGTCGGCAGGGCCCAGCCCCAGGGCTGACCGTGGGACCCATGGCATGGCTCCGTTCTGCACTCATTTGCTCAGAGGTGGGTTGGAGTGGCCTGGGCTGGAGGGCACTGCGGAGTGTCCCCAGAGGTGGCCATGGGGCAAGCAGCTCACCGGAGGGGCCCGGGGCTCACACTCGAGGCTCCCCGACTTCACAGTGGCTCTGTGCTCTTCTTGCCTGATCCCCAGCCGCAGTCATCCGAAGGCTTCTGTCCCTCCTCCAGGTCACCATTGTGGTCCTGGGCAACAAATGTGACCTTCAGGAGCAGCGGCGTGTGGACCCGGATGTGGCTCAGCACTGGGCCAAGTCGGAGAAGGTGAAGCTGTGGGAGGTGTCGGTGGCCGACCGCCGCTCCCTGCTGGAGCCCTTCGTCTACCTGGCCAGCAAGATGACGCAGCCCCAGAGCAAGTCCGCCTTCCCACTCAGCCGCAAGAACAAGGCCAGTGGCTCCCTGGACGGCTGAAGAGCTGCCGTCTGCCCGGCCTTCCGGCCCCGCTGAGCTCCTTGGGAGCGAGGGGGAGCCCACTGGGCCGGGCAGCTGAGCTGTCCCAGGCACTGTGTCCCCTCTCAACCCCAGCAAATGCAGAGAGTCTTCGTCAGCGCCCCTCCCCCCAGCACCCTGTACTCCCTCCCAGCTGACGTCCTGTCTTCACGGTTGCCTGGGGCAACGCCCCTTCCGGCCCCCGGACAGGAAGAGGAGCTACCATGCCACAAGTGCCCGATCTAGGGTCCGAGGCCTTTTTGATTTTGAGACAGTGTCTCACTAAGGTGCCCAGGCTGCCTTCAAACTTGGATCCTCCTGCCTCAGCCTCCCGAGTAGGTGGGGTTACAGGTGTGTGCCACCACGCCTGGCTAGCAACTGGTTCCTCTGACAGGGTTACCAGTCTTCTGAGCTTCCTGCCAGTTACACGCGTGTGCGAGAACTCTAACTCACTCTCTCTCTCTCTCTCTCTCCCCTCTCTCTCTCTCTCTCTCTCTCTCTCTCTCTC